AAATACTCAATTTCTGACCCGAGTTATAACGAATTCACGAAATTAACGAGGATTCGCGTTATTCGCGTGAATTTTCGATTTCAAACGGCGAGTACTGTACCAGTTCAGCTCAGACGTTATCACGCGTATTCTCGATGAGCTTCAGTGAAACTGTGGAGGGTCTAACACAGTCAATAGTGAGATGGTTAATGGAGTATCTCATGCTGATATTCCATGGGTCCTCCAGTTTCGCTAAAGCCTGCCGTGTGATGCGCGCGATAGCGGGCGAAGCAAAACTGGTAAAGGATAAAGCATTTGCCGTTGATCAATCCCATTTTGGGATGCAGCCACATCACTTCCATTTGAACATTTAAGACAGCCTAAAAAAAAAATGCCACAACGGGAAGTGAATTCATTCACAGCGCTTATCATTGGCTCACATGGCTCACCGTTTTCAAATGAACTCAAGCACGTCCAGACGCGTCATGCAAAATTGCTAATTCATTCTAAAATGAGCTGAAATATTGCTTGAGCCTTACCTCGGGTGAACGAATAAGGCAGCAGTGCACGCAACAAGGTCGCAGATAGCAAAGTTGAGAATAAGAATAGAATAAGTGACGAGCTGGTTCGGAGTTTTCTTCAGAACAAGATAAACTAAAAGAATGTTGGCGGAAACACCAAATGTGTTCGAGACAAAATGTATGATGAAGCTAGTGAGCCATATAGAATCCATTCCCTGAAACAAGAAAATATTTCAGCCAGAGACTTTTAGAAACTCACTATTCCATACATTCGAAATCTTAACGGAAGGCAGTTCGTGATTAGTTCTGTGAGCTACAACTATTAGGTTGTCTCATAAATAGTGTCGCTTTTTTTCAACCAAAAAATTTTCATCTAAATCCCCATGCTTTTACATCGTGTCATATACCATTCGAAAGAGAATTGTCTGCTCTACAAGATGCTATGTTCCTCTTCCACCTCTGTTCAGGGTTTTCAAATTTTAGGCCTGCGAAATGGGAGGTCCAGCCGACAAAAATTGACCAAACCGACAACTATCTCTAACTTTATCTTCCCTTGGAGAAATCAATCAATGATGTACCCTCTACTTATGCATGACCTCTTCTGAACATTACACTATTAGGTTTCCCAACAAGTCGCGTCGTTCCATTTCCAGACCTGGTTTTTCAACCAGAACTCGACGAGCACCATTACCTGAGATCTAGGTCGAAATTTTTTTATAGCCGAGACATTGAAAAACTAGTAGAATTTCAAGAACAAGTCATGACTAAGTTAGGAATGTACGCCTGGTTGATTTTCTCATCTTCTCAGGGATAATTTTTTTCAAAGAAATGCGGTCACTTTCGTGGATAAAGCACCTTATTCCTAAACACCTAAAATTCGAACTAATTCCCAACAAACATAAAAACAAAACAAATGAGCGAATAGAGCAGAAGAAGTGCTCACAAAAGGAACACCACTTGATATGAAACAATGGCGTTTACGAGGAACAATTTTAATTTGAAAATTGCTATGGCTTATCGGTCAGCCAATTCGAAAAGAAACACGGCAAAGCTTTTTCGGCAACCTAAGAGTGGAATGTTTAGAAGAGGTCATGAGTAAGTAGAGGGTACATCATTGATTGATTTCTCCAAGGGAAATAAAGTTAGAGCTAGTTGTCGGTTTGGTCAATTTTTGTCGGCTGGACCTCCCATTTCGCAGGCCTAAAATTTGAAAACCCTGGAACAGAGGTGGAAGTGGAACATAGCATCTTGTAGAGCAGACAATTCTCTATTCGAACGATGTAAAAGCATGGGGATTTAGATGAAAATTTTTTGGTTGAAAAAAGCGACACTATTTATGAGACAGCCTATATAATACATAAAGGACTCCTAGCCAATGTGTGACCTGCACAATGACATGCATTCGACCCTTCTATATTCTTGTGGTTATTTCAAGGTACAAGGTAGAGAAAGGAAGTCATTTCCTCCCTCAGATTATAGTCTCGTGAATAACTATACTAAAGGCGAGTCACTTTTGATATACATACTTGATATATGTACTATCGAACTGATGTGAGATGGTGGGAACGGTGGTGACAAATGGCACCGTACACCATG